AGAAGGTGGGGGCCAGGTGGTGAGGGTGAGAAACGCAAAAGTAACGCAATAGTTACTTTTACTAGTAACTAGTTACTTTTATTGTGGAGTAACTCAGTTACTAACTCAGTTACTTTTTGGAAGAAGTAACTAGTAACTATAACTAATTACTTTTTCAAAGTAACGAGCCCAACACTGTCCATCTCTAATTTTCTACCAATACTTGGATATAGTCTCATTCCTTAAATAATGTAACAAGCCTAGCCATGGATTCAACCAATTTGTTATCACTTAATATGGCTTGTAGAGGTATTATGGGTGACCGAACAAATTCTACGTCTTTCTATGTGCCTTATACAGAGGATTACTTATGTTCAAGAGAGGCTTTAGCTGTGCTGCATGGTAATACTTGTGCTACCCGTTATTAAGACAAAATAAGCAGATTAAAGTAATATTTTACACAGTATCGGAGCATGCGTTAAATTTAAAACATCATTTCCGGTAACATTTAAATATATTTTTATTTGCAGCATCAGGAATCCTGAGGCATATTTCGCTGAGACTCCAGTGGATACAGAACCAGCCAGGATGAAGAAAAATATTTTTAGTGCCTGGCTGTATTTTGGAATTGGAAAATTATTTTGAATCTACTCTCTACAGACGATAAACCCTAAGGGTCCCCTGTCATTTATCCTATTCTTCACTCAGTTGTTATTGGTTACAGTGCCTCTATCTGGTTACCTTTCTTTCCCTGTTTCTGGTTTTTGCAGTTAATCCTTCTTCACCATCTTGTGCTTCCTGATGTCTGCCTACTGTTTTAGTTATTTGTCTCCACAAATCATGACAGTAGGACCTGACCATCAAAAGGACAAGGAAACATAAACTTAGAAAATAAAGCCATTTCAGTATCGGAGTTGGGAGGCCAAGCTTCAGACAAAGGGGCCTTTTCCACTTGGACTGATGATGGAGCTATCTTGGCACCGGACCTAACAAAGCTCCAGATTATTTGGATTTGATCGCCGAAAGCTACAACTCCTAGAGCCAGAAACTGGTGCTACAGTAGCACCAACTTTTTGTTGTGACCTACGAGATCTTGCCTAGCACCAAGTAAATTAAGCATAAGGTGTGGAGTTTACTATAAGGTGCACATGAGGAGCACAACTCTTCAAGAGTGTTCAACAACTTTGCCAGATGCTGAATAGTTGTAACAGTGACAAGGAGGATGCCAACACAAACAACATGATACATCACCAGGATGGCTGTGTTGGGCTGTGCAATGTTCCTATATTGGTCAGGTAGGAACAAGCCAGTGTTGAATAGTCCTCAGTCGGTTACTATAGCATAGGTTTTCAAGGTGACTACCTTCATCACCACTGGTGTCTTGAGCTCGTTTCTCATTGCTTCCCTGTCATAGTGCCCACCGGAGCCCTCTAGACAACTTCTGATCCTGCTCTGTCTGCACTGAGTCCTCCAAATTGGGTGACTGCATTTGCATCTACTGCACTGGTACAATTTCCTGCTCCAGAGGTTTCCTATGTTCCTGCCCTGGATCGTTCCTTTTGCCAGTCCACCTGGTCCCCAGGTTACCTGTGGTCTTACTGCAGAGAATCTCTGTGGCCTACGGCTTTCAACTGAGCTCCTTCATGGTCTCCAGGCTTCATTTGAGCTCATTTTTGGCCTCCATAAATTCAGGACCTGAATACATGTATAGAAAGGCTGCACATTGGCACAGTTTGTAGCACCGTTGCCTTGCAGAAAAAAAGTTCTCTGCAGTTTTCTTTCTGCATGGAGTATGCATGTTCTGTCTTTGCATGCATGGGTCCTCTCCAGGTACTCTGGCTTCCTTCCACAGTCCAAAAACATGACTGTTAGGTTAGTTGGCTTCCTAAGGCGTGAGTGTGTGTAAGAATGGTTGTATGTCTCTGTGAGTCTCCATATGTATCAGTCTGGCAACCTAAAACAAAGCCAAGATACAAAAGGCAAGTTACCTCTGTGGAGTAGCCAAACTGGCCTACAGAGGGTTCACCAGATAATTTGTGGTGAGCTCATAGTATGCTTCTCCTCTGCATCAAAATGAGGCAGCATTGTTCTGAAATGTGATAAAGACAGTCTGGGAGATCCCTCTTGTGAGAGTTTTAGGCCGGGCATACACTGTACGATTTTTTTCCCTTTTCAGGCCAATTTTCCCGTAGTGTGAGAAATTTTCAATTTTTCTCAATTTTCAGCCTCATCATGCGTCCTGCTTTATGTAATATGCAGGGGAAATAAGGGGCGATTGGACTCTCACGACCACGTCCTGATCAGGGATCATAAGGTTGGGAGAAAATCAAACATGTTTGAAATTCAATCAGCCGTCCTAAGGTGTTCATGGACAAATCCTGCTGTTGAAACAGAGCCACGAGCATCTAAGAGCCAATTTACCGGAACCTTGAGCACTGCGCATGTGCGAACAAGGGAGTTCTGCTTCTTCTTCTTTCAGATTGACGAGTCCGTCCAGTGCCATCGGCGCTGAGTTTGACGTGTGGTTTTTGGACGTGTAGTTTGAGCGTGTAGTGTTGCTTCAGAGCGTCAGGCCGCACAGTGTGAGAACATCCATCGTGAGCTATGAACGTTTAAACCTGCGTTTTTGTAGTACAGTTTGAGCTGTAGCTCGATTGAACGACGATTGAACATATCACACAGTGTATGCCTGACTTTACAGGCACATCCTCAGAGGAGACCCTTGGGAATACCCTGAACCAACTAAAGTAACTGTATAAGCCTAGAGCTTTTGGACTTTTTAAAATCTTGAAATCAGCTAAAGAATAATGCTGGGAGGAGTGATGGCGGCTGTTTCTATTCTGAACCTCACAAACCAGTCTCAAATGAGCAAGAGATAAGGGATTGTTTGGTAGTGTTTTACACTGCTTACAAAAAAGAAAAAAAGCAGGCTAGTATTTGATATTTTCAGTGCTATCATCTTAAAAATTTTCTTCCATCCATTTATCACTACCTTTAGATTAGCCAGCCAGTTTAGCCTTAAGTAAAACAGTGAAGCACTTTCCCCATGACTGTACAAACAGCCTGAACAAACAGATCTCTTTTCTTATCAGGCAATAGCTGTTAATGTAGATAGAGATAAAAAAGGTACCTCCTTATTTAACAGAGAATCTGTATTCACATTCCTCAAAGGGTAGCATCAGCGATACTTGGCAACTGTTCATCAGAGGACCTCCTGATTGCACAGTGACAGGGAGAGCACCAGACGCTGGAAACCTCCCTCCGATCTTCATCTCTCTCTCTCGTCCCTCTCTGCAGTGAAGTGTGAACATTAAAGTGAATGTGGAGGAGGAGTCCTTGCAACAGGGAGTGGGGAGGGTCAGTAGGGAAGCAGAGAATCAGAGTAAGACAGCAGCAAACCCAGGCAGACAGCAATGAATGTTGGCAGGGAAGAGGCTTCAGCACAAAGACAACCAGCATGTTAACTGTGTTGGTCCCCTGGGAGTGTTGTACCTAATCGGAGAAGGTTGGGAAGCTTTGGATACCATACAACATCATCAGCCTGGTAGGTTTACTCTGCTGCTCCCATGTTCGAGCTACATACTGCTGATGCTGGTTATGCAAGGTATAAATAAATCCACTTGCATGACAAGAAGAATTCTGATCCTTAATATTTAATATTTATTTGTTAATTGCATGTTAGGACAAACATAGTTTAAGCTCAAACTTTTAATCCCATTGTCGGTAGTCAAGTCTGGTTTCACACTGAGGGTGAAGCTTATTATTTTGGGGCTTATACATTCCCACTGGCTGTTATCAGCTGCGCTACACTCCTAAAATTCTCTTCTTCCATCTCTGGATCTAATGTTGTCTTTTACTGTTTCATTTTTTTAACATTTGAAAGTACAGCCCAAATTTTCCACAGCAAGTAAAGTCTCAATTTTACATCGTGTCTAGTGTTGCACGCACCAGACCATGAAGCATCTCCTCATCTGTCCCAGTTTCTTTTATCCCAGCGAGGCTGAAACATGTCCTGCTCTGATTGGAGTCTTAACTCTGGTATCTCACTGCAGAATGAAATTTTGTATTGACGCAGATTGCTTTGCCTTGTGGAAAAGAAAGTGGATTCAGCCCTGTTTAAATCTGGAACAGAGCTGTGAAAGGAATGTCTTCGCAGCAGTAGGCAGGAGGAGTTATACCTTCATATAAATCTAAAAAGGGCATCCCTGCATTTGTTTTTTCAAACTCTAAGTCACAGCTGTCCTTTTAAAATGAGTCTGAGCATACAGATTGGCTGTTTTTTGAGATAAATTATATGAAACTGCTGTCCTTTTCCATTACAAATCAAAGATGTTTAAAAGAACAAACTGAATATTGCTTCTGAAACAAAGAGGACAGAAAATATTTAACAAGCAACTGGGATTCAAGGTATTTCTGCAGCTATTAATTTTCAATCACTGGTATTTTCAGACTGTCCGCACCTTCTCTTTCATAGCAAATACCATCATCTTGTATAAAGGAAATGAGTACCAATTTAATAAATCAAACATAATCCAGCTTCTTCTTTGTTGGAGGTATTTTCTTTTATATTATCCTCTTCCTTAAACCCAGATGGTTCCTGTATGGATTTGGTAAGCCGCAGTGTCATAGCGTGGGTTGCCTTGTTTCTCTGATCTCATTAATGATAGAAAATTGTAACCACAACACAAATACTGCAGCACTGAAAAAGATAAAGCCATGAGAAAAAAAAATCTTCTTTAGATTTAAACTTGTCCATATGTCAATTTTAAAGTATTGTTGCATGCATTTGCTATTACAAAGGAAATAATTTCTAAATAAGGTGAATTGCTTTGAGAGTGACTTAATATTGATTGCTCTCTATTGCTCTCTTTATTTCCCAGAAAATCAATTGCACACTCAAAGAACAAGTTGTTTCTTTGAAGTTAGCACAGGGGGAACAAAAATAGGATTTGGTGATTTTTCAGAAATTTACTAAAGAACCCTCTTCTAGAAACACACCCCACCCTCTTTGTCCTGCCCATCACATACAGATGGACATTCAAGGCTGCAGCATCAAAGCCCAATAATCAGCGTCATGGCAAAACGCTATTGCTCATAGCTCTGATTCCAAACCAGCGATAATAACAAATATTTTAGTTAAAATGTAGGTGTCCATGAATCATAGGTTAATTATACATATGACCTAATTTCAAATATAATTTAATTGCAGAGTTAGAAATAATGATCATTCGTAATTAGCATTTTGCACATCCTCTCTGTCAAAATACATGTATCACTTTCCTCAGAATCTGTAATTACAAACTGGCTTTTAACCATTATCTGCTAAATATGGCTGAACTATAGTAAGAGAAATAATAAATTCCAGACACAGTTGTTTTTTTACACCTTTCAACACAAAAACACAAACACTCTATTTGTTGGAACATGAATGTGTTTAGATGTGCTTTCCTGTGTGCGTGACTCTGTGATTCACCAGCAAGTGGACCACTTTAGTTTCAATTTTCCATCAATGGCTGCTGTGCAATATAAAATGAGTGTACCTATGACATGAGAGCAGATTGACGTCATTTGAGACATTACCTTGGCAAATTCTGCACAAAAAAGGCATTCAGTCTGAACATTGTTACAGAATCAAAATTTGACAGAGAGGTGCCTCCTCTATACTCCTCACTGGTAGTGATCAATGCATCTTTCTTAGCTGTTACTGGAAGCTAAGTATCTCAATAACCACAGATGAGCTCCTGCTCTTTTTGTTTTCGCTGAGTAAATTTAGGTAGAGCACTTGGACAGTGGTCAGTTAGAGAGGCAATCCATTCAATTAGGATATAGTGGAGCTGAGGTAGCACTTAGTGTCTTATTGGTGCACTTCTCTTTCCCAAGGTTAAATACAGCTGCACGTCATATAATTACATAGCATCAAAACATTACAAATAAGAAAAGCACACACTGAGTCCAGGCAATCAAGTATTTTGCCCCATATTGTGACTTACAGCTATAACTATAACCTACACACAATCTAGATCTTTATCAAATTTTGATAAATTGTTCCATGACATGAGGTGCTTCTTCATTTGCTCTGTTTTTTTGTTTGATCAGCAGATCGAGATTTCGAGCGAGGCATAGTTCACTGTTCCAGTGTCTTCAGTATAATACCTTTGGACTTCTTTGAGTCCAATGCTGAAGCTGTCAATAGTCACTGCTGCCTCTCTCTGGTTTAAGGGGACCTGGAGGAACTGCTTGTTCTGCCAAATAATGTCCAAGAATCCTTAAAAAAATTCCTGCATCTGGATGATGATGTGGATCATCACCAAAATTTAATGGATTGTTCCTTGGACTGAGTTGCACCTTTGGTAAAAATATCATTAAAAATTCAATCTAGATTTTGTAACATTATCTACTGTTTTATTTGGATATTTAGCTTGACCGTGAAAAGCTTTTTAATTTTTATTTTTTGCAGGTTATTTAGACAATCTGGAATCTGTGTGTCATGTTCTTGGCACTGATGACTGGCTAAATTACTCATTCCATTCATCTGTCTAACTCTGCCATGTTTCTCATCACTGCTCAGCTGATCCACCTGCTTCTGCCTCTATTTAAGCTGCTTGCATCCAGTCATCAGGGCCAGATTATTCTTGTTCTCTCTAGCCAGTGGTGAAAGTGTTTTTAGTGTACCTTGGTGTTTCATATTTCCTAATCTAGAACTGTTCTGCCTGTCAAGCACCTAGCCTATCTGTTCCTGTCTGATCTCAGCGGTGAGAGTTTTTTAGCATTACCTTAGTGTTTCTGATTGCCTGATCCTGTTCTGCCTGTGAACCACTCCGCCTGCCTGTTCTCGTCTGAACAGTTTTACCTGAACTGTCTTTGGACTCAAGAATCTCTGAGCCTGCCAGTTCCTGTTCTGATTGGCCATGCCTGAATACTGGATCCTGCTGTTCCAAGCCATGGCAGAATAATCTGGCCAAACATGGACCCATCGTTGGACAGACAGTGGGGTTCTGAGGTCGCACAGTGTGTTTCTTGTCTAGAGTCAGGTATTCAGGAGGTTCTGTATAGCCTGTTTGGTCAGACTGCTTCCACCTTTTCTGTCAGAAGCTGCATCTGTTTCCCCCCGAACTGTTTGGGGGTTATTATGATTAGTGTCCGGTTTTTCTGACCCCCACCCGCCAAGTTTGGGTTTTATTGTTCTGGGTTATTGTTTTTTGTTTTAAGGTTTTAGAGCCCGGGAGGGCGTCTGGAATCTGCCCTTAAGTGAGGGGATCTGTCATGGTCTTGGCACTGATGACTGGATTTATTACTCATTCCATTCACCTGTCTAACTCTGCCCAGCTTTTCATCATGGCTCATCTGATCCAACTGCTCCTCTCTCTATTTAAGCTGCTTGCATCCAGTCATTAGGGCCAGATTATTGTTGTTCTCTCTAGCAGTGGTGAGAGGTTTTTTTAGAGGTCCTTGGGGTTTCTGATTTCCTGATCCTGACCTGCTCTGCCTCTCAACCAGTTAGCCTGTCTGTTTCTGTCTGATCTCAGTGGTGACATTGTTTTTAGAATTACCTTAGTGTTTCTGATTACCTGATCCTGTTTTGCCTCTCAACCACTAAGCTTGCAAGTTCCTGTCTGAATGGTTTTACATGTACTGTACTGTCTTTGGCCTGTTCCTGTTCAGATCTGTTTTGCTGGAATACTGGTTACTTCATTCCCGAGCCATGACACTGTGACCATATCTAGATCAGAACCTTACATATGTAGCTTTGCCAAAGTTAGACTGAATAGTTTTATATTTTCTAGCCAATAAAACAATACTTTATCGACCCCAAAGGGAAATTTAGTGTTGTTGTAACTCTTTGCTGTTACTTTAGAGTTTAATTTTTTTTTAAAGCTGTATCTAGAAAATACCTACAGTTTACTGTCTTTCAGCAGCTTCTGATTGAAGACACATTGTTAGATTTTTTTGACAAGGTGATAAAGAGGATGCTTATGGTTTACAATGTTCATATAAAACTTCATTAAGAAGTATTCTTTGTAAAATCACATTCAAGTGTTTTAAAGTTCTTCTGCTATCACATACCCCAAAAATTGATAGCAGAGATCACATTCCATAACAGACTGATACACTTCAACCACTTAAGGAACTAAGCTTCCTCAGTAAAGTCTGCTCTTTCCCTTGTAATTCTGTCTTTTGTTCAGGTGAACACCAATGTATTCATATTCCTTAGCCACCACCCCTTTCCATGATGGTAACATGGTTAACTCTTTCTTGTTTCTCTTGAGATCTTCAATCGTCTCCTTTGTTTTATTTACAACCAGCATCAGATTATTTTTTTCTACAACATGCCACAAAGTGGTCGACCAGCTCCCTGTACTGGGCCTCTTGTCCATACTACCAAGGACTGAAAAGTCTTCAAAATATTTATGCAGATGACTGATCTTTCTTATACTGAAATATGGAGGCGCACATGGTAAAAAGGAATGGTGAGAGTACAGTTTCTTCTGTTGCTCCCATGTTGTTAACTACCTTATTAGATGCTTGACCCTTTAGTCTAACAACCTGTGATCTGTTTTTCAGGCAGTCTTTGATATAGCCACTTGTTGGTGCCTCAACAATTTATTGTGGATTCCTTTTACACTTACTTCTTGTTGCTCTTTCACTGGCGGTCCACACAAACAGCTTTTTTTCTCTCTTCTGCATTAATTGTTTACATCCTAAAGTTATTCAACTTTATGTAGACATAGCCTTTAACATCGAGAGACTCCGGCTGACATCTAACTGTAACAGCTCTATGATAATTGAGGACTAATCGCTGTATTGTCTTTGGTACCAAAACAAAACATGAGGCCTTCTATAGAACCATCTCTTGGGCTGAGCTAAGGATGACGAGATACTCATCCAACTGAGCTGCTCTACAGGACTTCAGAGTCCTTAGGACTTTGGAGCTAACACCATCTGGATATGGAGCTTTATCCTTGTTCATTTTTTCCAGCTTCCATTTCACCTGATGTCTAGGGACATCTGCCTGGCTGTGTCTGTCCTGGACAGGGCCATCTGTGGAACTACTGTAGTTAACAGTTCCTGTTTTATTTCAGCTTCTTTCTGTATGTCTGCTTCCTTCCCCTTGAACCCGGTTGGCATGGCAGAAGGCTGCTCACACTGAGCCTGGTTCTGCTGAAAGTTTCTTCCTGCCATAAGGGAGTTTTTCCCTTTCAGTGAGTATATGCATTCTTGGTTTGAGGGATTGCTGTCGAGTCAACGAGTCAAGGGAATCAGCTGATTTTTCTTTGATATAAAAATTTGAACCAATCTAATTATATGTCTCTGTACAGTGCCTTGAAATTACATATGCTTTGTATTACCACAATATACTGCAAATAAACTGAAATTAATTGAATTATTGGTGTTATATATACAGACATTTATATGGTCTGTCACAAAGTCCATCACTATTCTACTGCCATCTCCATGTGGGTGACACATTGCAGCCTGAAGTGACCCAAATCCAATTTTTTTGCCCATATGCGACCTGGATCTGATCTTTTCATGGCAGTCTGAACAACACCGGTCCGATTTTTTCCAATCCGACCCAGGCCACTTGGCTATGTGGTCCTGAATCCGATACGAATATGATCTTTTCAAATGCGACCTGTGTCTGAATGGCCAGGTCGTCATTAATACCAGACAAAGGTCACTAGTCTGAGTCTTGATACACAGAAGCGGCAAGAAAAACAACAACCATGGCAGATGATGATTAGGAGAGCAGCATTTATGTTGAACCATATTGAAAAGATTGAGTTTTTATGGTTGGAAAAGACCGCTAGATGCGCACCAGCACTACCATCCATGTTTACTTCCGTAAACAAAGAGCACGCTGGCCTGTGACGTCATTGCATCCTCTACTACGCATGCGGGACACTTGTGTTGTATGGAATTCACAAAGGAGATCACATACAAGTTGCATATATTTGGAAATATGAATGGCAATGCAAAAAAAAATTGGATTTCACAATAAAAATCGGAATTGAGCATCAAGGCCTGCAGTGTGAACGTAGCCATGGTGAATCCCAGTCTGTAGCCTTAAAACAACCTTGCAGGTGTTATTCAGCGGACTGTGACATCTTCTCACGGTTTCATGTTGCTGGTTGCCTGATAAAGGGGCTCATAATCTGGGTAGGGAAAGGCAAAATTGTGATTTCATTTATAAAAAGAAAACTTTGCTTTAGGGGTTCTTAGACATTTACAAGTTTTGTATTCTCTGGTACAGCAGCTGAGAAAATGTTGAAACAATGAAAGTGTAGCAGGGACTAAGGCGTGATTAAGTCACAAGCTATTGTGACAAATACATTTGGCTGTTTTGTCTGTAGTTTATCATCCACTGAGCTGATGACTTGCAGTATATAAGCAGTTACCAAAACACCACTGGTGAACTTGTTATTGGAGAAGATGGCTTGAATTTTCTCCTTTTCCTTCTCTCTTATCTGTGACTGATCTACATGCTTGCCACCTCCATTTAACTATTTCTAACCACTGGCATTTGTGGTATTCCCTTTGTAATAACCCCTAATGCCATGAACCAGAGCTAGTTTTACATTAGCGGGATTAACAAGCAAAACAAACATTTATCAAAGCTTTAACGCAATATACACGTATGGACTTGTAAAGGCACAATGAAGTACTGATAATTTACCATGAGTCCAGTAGTCGAGATTCATTATGTGGTAGAATAGTTTTACAGCTTTGGAAATGTACTTCTTAACACTGTCATACTTCTAAGCTCTCACTATCTACTGCTTTAGCTGTTGTACATTGCATGCATATCATTGAAGACCCAACTTACAGACAAAAAACAGAAAAAGAGATTTAAGACTTTTTCTGATTATTTGCACAAAGTGAAGGCAAGAATTTTTGTCTTTCAACAATGTCTTTTTTTTTCCTGTAACCTTAAAGCCAGATATATAGATTATCGAGTGCATGACTAATATTTGTCCCTTTGCCAGATTATCCTATGCCATTTTATTCTCCCTGTTGGCTTCTCTGTTTTATATTCTTCTTAACCTGCCCATCGGTGTATGTGAATAGTTGCATCTTTGTAAATACTTGCATGTTATTATTTCCTTTTAAAGGTTGAGCTGTTGTGGACGGAAAAAAATCAGTGTCACTATCAAATACCTTCTTCAAGGTTATTTTAAAAAATGCTTCTGTTTGTGAGAAACTATCTGAAAAACGTACCCAGCGCTGAGAGATGGTTGCTGGTCGGACTTGTCAATCTGGAAGAAGAAGAAGAAGAAGAGGAACTCCCTTGTTTGCACATGCGCAATGCGTGGGGTTCTGTTAAATTGGCTCGTAGCTCTGCTTCAACAGCAGGATATATCTACCAACATCTTATGACAGCCGACTGAATTTGAAACATGTCTGCCTGTTGTTGGAAGGATCTACTGACAGACTTTTCTGGGAGCAGTTATGACAGAAGTGTCTGATCACCCTGTGATTATGTCCTGGCCTCAACCCAAATACAGCTTCAAGGGATGAAAGACTTAGGACTTAATGTTTCCAGGGGTCCACAGGAGATTCTGAACTGAATAAATTAAATGTTTTCTTTTTTTTTTAAGATTGTGAGAAATCAAATATGCCTCAATATGGTTGTGCATAATGATTATGGGCAAATTACTTGTGGACAATGGGAAAAATTAGCAGTTCCAATGGAATGGAAAAGGATGATAGGTTTCAAGAAATCACTTCAGCCCCAAAGAGAAAGGAGATAAAATTAGCCTAAGCCTCAGGCAGCTTTTATAACTTACATAAATCTAATTAATAATAAAGATATTAATAATGTATTTTTTTATTTATGAAGTTCTTTAAAATAAGAAACAGTACAAACCTTTGTATGACATTAATAACTTATAGCTATTAACTCTAAATTATTGGGGGAGTGGAAGAAAAATCTCTTTAAGTGGCTCTCTCCATGTAGGATTCAGCCCCGTGTACACAGAACAGACCAGAACACCAAGCTGTGTGTAACGATTGTCTTGTTCTTATCTTTGCAAAGATAAATAAAGTGCTGACTGAGTGAATTTCCATTGATCTCCTTTAATTAACTGGATAGCATAGTAGAATACTTTTTCCCATGATACTCTACTGGGTTATTTTTTTTATAACTACTCCCTAATTTAAACTTGTCCACAAACGTATATTTGATATCCCTACTCAGTCTAAATTTCCCAAACTTTAACAGGCGTTTTAAATACCTCTATTTACTTCATATAAATCACACACCAGTTGACAATGTCAACAATGTCATTGATTTCTGAAAGCAAATGGCTAACCTGAATTTTCTCATACTTTTTTGATGTTCTGATATTTCCTGTAAAACATTTAAACAGTCTGTATGATCTGGTTGAATTGTCCCTGTACAGTGCTTTAAGATGGCATGTGTTGTAAATAAGCTCTATATAAAAAAAAACTGTATTGAATTGGTGTTTCTTCTTTTAAAAAACATAAATCATGCTCTAGATGCGTTTATAAAAAAGACAGAATGTAGTAGAAAAATGAGGAGCATTTTCTGCATAAACTACTATTATTTTTGTCTGCAATCCCAACGGCAGGAGACCCTAAATTAAAATTGAAAAATATAAAAATAATATCTGCGTGTTTGGTGAAATATCACTGCTCTCTTCAAATGTGGGGAATTAACTATTTGGAAATATTTTAAGGCAAAAGTTTCCCGGTGAAGAGAGACTCACCAGAAGAATTAGAAGAGTTACAATAAACCCAGCAAATTAAATCAGCATTAACATTACCCAGCGTCACATCACTATTTATATTAAAGCATTAGTCTGTCTATGAAAGATTTGCTTTTGCCATGAAAATTATGCTATGTGTCTTTCTAGATTTTGCTTCAGGTGCATGAATTCTCTTTTTTTTCCCTCTCATTTCAGTTTTACAAAAATGTCTGACTTTGAAGATTTCAGCTGGACAGTTGGACAGACCAACGTTTCTGAAAGCTACCAGCTGAACCCCACCAGCGTAATTGTGTCCGTCGTATTCTCCATAATCTTTCTTCTCGGAACCATTGGCAACAGCCTGGTGCTTGCTGTGCTGTTGAGAAGCGGCCAGCTCGGATACAACACCACCAACCTGTTCATACTCAATCTGAGTGTGGCTGACTTTTTCTTCATCATATTCTGCGTTCCCTTCCAAGCCACGATCTACTCGCTGGAAGGATGGGTGTTTGGCTCCTTCATGTGCAAAGTGGTCCACTTTTTTATTAACCTTACCATGTATGCCAGCAGTTTCACCCTGGCTGCAGTATCTGTTGACAGGTAAGTTAATCCAATTCTGATGTTATACAAAATACCAGAAATTATTCTCGTTAGATTTAATCACCGTTTATTACCTGGCTGATACCTAATAAGGGCAGATTTAAAATGAGATGCAAATAGAATCAACTTTAAAGCCAATGATTTCACAGCAAGAAACTGATATTTCTTAGGGTAAAAATAGATTATATTGAGTAATTTAGAATATATATATTATCAGTTTTCTTTTTTTATAATAAGACATGACTATTTGTATACATTATTTTGTCTGATCAAAAATCCTGTTCTATTTAGATGCCTAATTTACATTAAGAGCAATGAATGTGTGGACGGAGGGGTATGATTCTCGCTTTGGGTGTGAGAGGGTCCATTATGTTACGCCCCCAAGGTCTAGGGGTTCTGGGGAGGTTACATAAAAATGTATCCAGAGAAAATAAGCAGAATGTAAAATTATTTATTACAAAAGATGGTTTAACAGACCCAAAACACAATAAAATGTAACCCAATTAAAACAAAAGAAAAGGGCAAACAAATTCAAGAATGGTTAAGTGCAAATCAAATTGCAAAATGTCCAAAACAGTCAGTCTAAGTTTAACTCAAAACAACCCAAAAGAAAAGGCAAAGGGAGCACCAAACCTCCCAAACACAAACTTCTAGCTTAAACAAGGTGCACCTAAAGCAGATTCAGGAAAATATACAGAACAAGTGAGGGTAAAGAGTTCTAACTGCCCAAAACAGTTGGAAACCAAAGGTAGGGGAAACAGCTTAACAAAACCTCTTCATACTAGCTGTCCTCAACCTGAAAGCTTTCCAGGAGTCTTTATATGGTGCAGGTGGGCCTCATCAACATCTGATTGACTTGGCAATCTTCTGCTGGTCCAATGATGTCACTGCTCCTCTGCAACCTTCAGGCAGCCAACAAGGAAGATTTCTGTCAGAGCTGAACCTGCATAAAAAAAAAAACAAACAAGCCTGCACAGTCTTAAAGGGCAAGGGGCTGTAACAGAGGGTGAAAAACTTCTGTTGATTTCTTTGGGAGTCTGAGGTAATGTTGCAACCCCCTCAAATAAGTACTTCAATTCTCTTTGAATTGTCTGTACAATGAATTGTGCTATAAGAATAAAGTTGCCTTACTTGCGTTGCCTCATGAAATACATGCAGAGATTAATGTTTGAGGACTAACATTATAAATATATAAATAAAAAATTGTATGTATTTTCTAAAAAAAAAAGAAAAAAAAAAAGCCAAAACTGTAGTTTTGTAGTCATTGTTAGGTTTCTGTTTCTGTTATGTTTTTCTTTTGAGTATTCTGTCTTTCCTTACTTCTTGATTTCTAGTGTTTAGTTTTCTTTTCACCATGTTTCATTATCCTAGTTATTTGATTATCATTTTGTTATTTCCAGTCTTC